AATTTGATTATATGCCATTAGCTTACTATGTATTTATTTTAAATTGCACAAAGCTCAGAAAATGTTATTATGGCTCTGTTTCTTAAAGATATTTCTTGATAAATTGATTTATTCACACTGAATTATGTGAAGATGTTACTCATCTTTATTCAAAGACTATGGATGACTTTGATTTTGTACCTCTGACTGCTGAGCAACTCCCAAACTCTTTAGGGGGCTCTCTTAATATTCTCAGCTGCTTCCTTCTCATTCCTCAGACTTAACCTTGATCCACACAAGGATGAATAACTGACCCACTTTATAAGGATTCAAAGAAAAAGACTAGAGAAGAGCATCTGAAAACATTTTTTGCTGTAGTTGAGTCTTAGAAATCATCCTCCCCTCCTCAGACTACATGTGATGGTAGTTATTTTTGAATTCTTAAATATTTTGGAATTGGCATAAACTTCTGAATCCCATGCTTTCGGGTCACTTGACAACATGGCTGTGTTCCAAGAAATGTGTTGTTAGGCAGTTTTGTTGTGCACACATCAGAGTGTACTTAAACAGACCTACACACCTTGGCTGTACAGTGGACATGTGGCGTGGCCTGGGCTTGGCAGTCACGCATTACCAAGTGTGGTATACCTAATATACACAAGTGGCAGTGCAGTAGGTTTGTTTACACCAGCACCCCCCCAAACAGGTGAGCGTGCATTGTGCTAAAACATGACACCAGCTATGCTGTCACTAGTCCACAGGAATTTTCAGCTCCATTACAGTCTTAGAGACCACTGTTACATACATGGTCTGTCACTGGCCTGGATGTCTTTATGCAGCACGTTACTGTACAAACAGGCAAGGTGGAAGTTGAAGGTAACATTTATCTAAATCGGGATGGGGGTGGAGGGTAGTGGCTGAGCACTTGAGGTCCTGGGTTGGATCCTCAGCACTGCAGGGAAAAGAAAGAAAAAAAATAGCATCCCAGACTGGGAAAAAGGAGTTTAAAATTACAGTAGACTAGTGACTTGAAGGATTATTTCATATCTCTCTCTCTCTCTCTCTCAGCTTGGAACCAGCTCTCAGCTTGTGAACATAACAGTTGAACTATTTGAATTGAAAATCAAATTGTTTGTTTTCAACAGGATGCTTTCAGTTTACTAGCATATTCAGATCCTTGGAATAGCCCAGTTGGAAATCAGCTTGACCCAATTCAGAGAGAACCTGTGTGCTCAGCTCTTAATAGTGCAATATTAGGTAAGTAAAACCAAAAAGCACAACTTCACCTAGCCTCTGAGAATATTTGAGGGTATTTGTGCTAACATTTATATATTTCTTAGTAAATATAGGTTGATTGTATACAATAAAACCTTTAATTTGGGGGCAGTTCTCTTCAAAGGTAATTTAGAGAACAGTGATTTTTCATCTGACTTTTAAGATTCTGATTCTCCAGACAACATGGGACTTCAGTCCTGTTTAGACGGCTGCTCAGCTGTCAGCCCTGTTAGGGTTCAGGTCTTTTAGTCACACATTTCAAACTATTTTAGGAAGACGTGGGCAGTGTTACACACAGGAAGACTTGCAGTGAAGGACCGGGGTGATCTCAGTACTCACATTTAATTACCTTTTGTAAGGGGCGACCTTTATAAAGTTCATTGATTCTTTATTTGTTAAGGACTAATACTGATGTTTGGGAATGGGAGTCATGTCCTTCGTGTGGTAGTTTTTGAAAGTTAATTTGTGTAATAGTAAATGATATGAATTTCTTTTGGTTAATGTGTTTTTGGTTATACAGAATCCACTTAGCTCTACTGACAAAAATAAGAGAAATTAGTAACAATAGTGGCTCTGTAGGGAAGACTATTGTTTGAAATTATTATACTATAGCTGGTCATGCAGGCCTAATTGCCAGGTACAACTCAAACTTGGGCAGAATTTTTGGAGAAAAGTGACCAATTTTCTTATTTGTTGGGTTCCTCAAAGGAATTAAATTGTTCTGGAACCTATCTAAGATGTGTATTCTTACTGTGCTATAATAGGTTCAGCTATAATTAGTGCTTCAGTTTATTAACTGTCATTCCTGTAAAATTAATGACAAATTATAAATTACTATGCATATTTATATTGTGTGGTATTATATAGATTTTCCTACATATAGTGCATAATGCATTTATATGTAATTCTTATGATTTTCCTATGTCTAAAAATTTGTTTATTACTGGATGCCTCTGTTGGCTAAAATGAGACTGTAATCGTGTACCTAATGCATGTATTTGAGCAAGAGTTAGTCTTCAAGAGTCATTTAAAAAAAAAAAAAAACTTTTTCAGCATTAGTAAATGAGTTCTTTAATAATCTTAACCCACAGATGTTTTGAAGAGTATTGTTCTCACTGGTCTGTGTACCTTTTCTTGAATACTTTTCAAGGAATTCTCATTTCCTTTTCCCTTGTACCTTTACATTCTAAGCTTGCTTTTGATTTTTTTTTTTTTTTTCCTTTTTCCCCTGCTTTGATTCTTTAGGAAGTATTTTTTTTTCACTCATCACCATAGTGCAATTTGGGAAGGGCAGGGGTTACAGGGATTGAACTCAGAGGTGCTTAATCACTGAGCCATATCACTAGTCCTTTTAAAAAAAAAAATAATAATTATATATATATATATATATTTTTTAATTGTGGTTGGACACAATACCTTCATTTTATTTATTTACTTTTATGTGGTACTGAGGATCGAACCCAGGGCTGCACACGTGCAAGGTGAGCGCTCTACCGCTGAGCCACAACCCAGCCCCAAATCACTAGTCTTTTGTAAATTTTATTTAGAGACCGGATCTAAGTTGCTGAGGCTGGCTTGAATTCACAATCCTCCTGCCTCAGCCTCCTGAGCCACTTGCACCATCACACCCAGCCTGTTGCTATTCCAAGTTCTGAATCAAGGGGAGTTGAATTATATGGGGCTCCTTATCAGCTGTGTATCTCTGTATTTGCCCTTACTAATTGAGAATTCCCATAAATTTGGACACCGGTCAACATACAGAAAGATTACCAGCTTCTGAGTTAGACTACTTTTACCTTTACTTTTTCGTCTCTGCAAGCAATAAATGTGTTAATCATTGCACTTCTGCTCCAACTGACAAATTTATGCTATGTAGCACTCTAAAAACTTCCACTTTTTAAAGTGTCTGAACTATCAATTTTAAGTTGATCCCTCCAGAATTTTAGGGTGATCCTTCTGTATGTTCTCTGACATCACTATTATCTACCCCAAATATCACTGACCACTATGCTTTGGGGGCAGGCAGGCAGCTTCAATTGAATTCTGTCCTCTCAAGGTGGTGGGTGGGTATCACTGGAAACTTAATAAAAACCTGGTTCTCCCCCTGGTTAATATCAACCCACTATGGTCAAGTAGAAGAGAAATATTAAATATTACTTACTCCCCAGACCGAATGTCAGATAAGTTGTCTTTCCCAACATAGTTACGTGTCTGATACTTTCAGAGCATGATTTTGCAAGTTTTTCTCTGTTGGTCACCCGGGAACAGTATGGTAGAACAGTATGTTCAAGGCATCACTCTGCCTTTGCTAGTGAGGTCATAGGAAGCATATAGGCAGATGCTTGAGTAGGAAACACAATGTTTTCTTGATTATTTTTTAAAATGTCTTACTGCTGTTTCTGTTTTTAAATCCTTTTTCCTCAGAAACCCACAATCTGCCAAAGCAACCTCCACTTGCCCTAGCAATGGGACAGGCCACACAATGTCTAGGACTGATGGCTCGATCAGGAATTGGCTCCTGTGCATTTGCCACAGTGGAAGACTACCTACATTAGCTATGCATTTCAAGAGCTCACACTTATATTGTGGCATATAGTCAACATGGAAGTTAGACCAGCTCGGCTGATTTGAAATTTAGATTTTTTTAATTATGTACTGGGGACAGGTTTTTGTCGCTTTACATTGCTTCCTAGTTTACAGCATGATGCAAATGATTTTCTAACTTAGTGTTAGGAGAAATTATTTTCCATCTTTAACCTCTTAGTTGTCTAAGAGTTAAATATTACTGAATTTCAGACATTCAAATCGATCATCAGAAATCCTTTAAAAAATTACCTAAAACAAACCAAAAAGTCCTGCCTTCTTTGTGGGGAGAAGAAGGGGAGAGGAAATGGAACAAGTTGTGTTTGTGTTAGCATGTGGGTGATGTAAACTTCAAATTGGGAGATGTTCCGACCCCCGCTCCCATATAAGCATTCAATCAGTGTAACTTGCAAAATGCATAAACATCCGACAGTTTGAATTTATAGTGTTGATGGAAGAAATCATTTTTAATGTGTACTGTAAAACTTGAAATACTCAGGAGCTGAGTGAATATGTTCGTTGCTACTTACAATCCCAACCTGTTAGTCCCAGTAGTTTTGTTTTAACATGGTCTTTTCAACTTTGTTTCCTGTTTAATTACAGATGACTTCTGTTGTAGACTCACAAGTTTAACTGTTGTATTATAACAGTATTACATGTCAACAGTGTGGTTATGACCTTTATTTATATAAAAACCAAATATTTAGTCAATTTACTGTGTCTTAATTTAATCTTTGTACACCTTCCATTTTTAAGTGCTTAAATGAGTACTATATTGCAATAAAAATGTAGTGATATAATTAACCAGCCATTAAAAATTTACTTCTACAGATACTAGCGTGTCAGTCAAGTTTATATATATTAGGCATATGTATACGTTTATAGTTAATGTAGAACTAGAGCAATTAATGTCGATGGTATTAACCGCTTCTGAGTTTGATACCCAGACACCTAAGACTGTCTTCGTTTACTGGATTGGAAAAAAAAAAAGGAAAATAGTTATTTTAAGACTACTTTTTCTTTCAGGGCTCTCAAAGATGAGAAGGCATGATCATATTCCAGAAAGATGAAATACAGTTAAATATTTCTCCAAACACAGACTTACTATGGTTTTTATAATGACATTTTAAAAAGGTTTTTGTAAGAGAAATGAATGCTCTAAATTCTCTACATACAAAGTACAGATTCTTTATTTGGCTTTTACTTTGATTTATTAGTTTTCATCTTTCTGAACATCCACCGTCGTTTAAACCTCTTGGCGTTTTGTTTTTTCTGGATTCCTAGAATAGAAAGTTTTATATAAGAATATTAAATATTAGTTAAAATTCCTGAGAAATGTAAAATTCAAGACATTCTTTTGAAGATTCTCTGGTTCATGTGAATGGGATATAAAACTAGATCTGTTCAATTACCATTACAAACTATTGTCCTCAAAAGAACATTCAACTTACAAAAGTATCAGAGCTGAAAATAGAGCTGAATCTTACCCCAAGCATGATTCAAAAACTGGGCTGCAGCCTTTTTCACTGGTAACCTCTTGTTGTCAAGAGACAGAAACTTATTTACTAAAAAAGAGAATCATTTATCATTTCCTTGTTTATTTTGCAGTAAAAAATGAGCAAAAATAGTCCACAAGCAGATTACCAGTAGTTCTGTTGGTTCCTGGGCCGTACAGACAATTATGTATAAAGGCTTTGGCGGCTTGTTGCCTTGAATCTCTCAGATCTTGGTCTTTTAGCCTTAGGGCTAAATAGCTTTTCTGGCTGGTGATCAACACAAAAGATCAAAATAAATGACATGCGCTTTCATAAACAGCTTTATTCTTTTGTGGTGCTAGGGACCAACCAGGGTACCTCCCCATGTGCCAGGCAGAGGGTCTCCCACTGAGCCACATAGACACCCCTCCTTGGCTTATTTTAAAAGGAATTATTTTTGTTATTTCAAATAGTAATTTAAAGTATAGGGTGGTTTTATAAGAAATAGTCACAACTTCGCATAGCAAGTAAATGTGTACTTTATATAATATATATATATATAATATATAATTATTTTTTTTTTTTTGCAAAGGATCCAATCTGAAAGTGCTGGTAATTAAAATATTTTCCCACACAAGCCAAGCTAATGCTTTTATCAGTTTCTTTTATAGGGGGGCAGGGGGATTACCTGGCAGACTGTACTTTTTGTACTTTAACTTTCTTGGAGTCACTTCCTTTTTCACACTCTTCGTTTTTCTTTTGCAAATTAACTGAAAAATTGAGTTCCATTTTCTGGTTAGCATTTAAGCTTACTTTTAAGCCTCTATTACAGACTTACCTGGGTATAGGTTTTATTTATAAGAAGCAGAGGTCACAGACTTATGCTAACCTTGGCTAGACCTAGGCCAGTGCTAAGGAAGGGCCAAGTAACACTGAACTAAAATATTTTTAAATGTACTTGACACAGGAGAAGTTCATAAATGAGAACAATTCATACCTTCTTTCAACTTTCCTGGTGATTTCTTTATGCTAAGGGAAGAAGAAGAAGAGAAAAAGATTGCAATGGCACAATACTTAAAACATGCTACACAATTCCTGGCTTTATGTAATGCGGGCTTGCGCTCCCCCCCCCCCCCCCCCCATTATCGCCATCCTCAATTTTTACTCAGGATCTCTCAGTGTTGGGAAAGCAAAAGGCTTTCTGCAATGCACCATACCAATTCTCAATCAATGATCTAGTATTATAAGGATCACAGTATCTTCTCAGGATTTAAATCTGAAAGCATATTACTAGGCTTCAAAGCAGTAGAATGGTGTCTTGAACAGAATTAATAGAACCAAAGGTAGGCCTAATCTCACACTTGGAGAAATCACAGAGGATAATTCAACAGTTTATAGTCACTGGAGAAAAGGATCAGACTGATGACAACTGACAAATACAGTATGAGTATACAGAGTACAATGCAGAACCATTTGCAACAAAGGAGGAAGTCAAAAGAGGGTGACACTTTAAGTTGATTTTAAAATGATGAAAAAATCAACAACTGGAGCTACATATGTATTTAAGATACGAATTGGCCAGGTGTTGTGGCACACACCTGTAATCCGAGCAGCTGGGGAGGTTGAGGGTAGGAGGATCTTGGGTTAAAAGCCAGCTTCAGCAAAAGCAAGGCCCTAAGCAACTCAGAGAGACCCTGTCTCTAAATAAAACACAGAGAGCAGGGATGTGGCTCAGTGTTTGAGTGTCCCTGAGTTCAATCCCCTGTACCAAAAAAAGGAAAAAAAAAATTCTAGAAAACTTTATTTTAATAAAAAGTTGGAAACTACTGGCCTACATAGAAGGGGGTTAAACTTTTGAACTTAAAGCAGTTAAGGGGAGCCAAGAGGGATGACAAAAAAAACAAAACAAATATTTAAAAGTCTATAAATTCAGTCGGTCTCGAGTCCATGAACTAGAGGGAGATGACAACTGCTGACTTTTAAATGTCGTGGATGGCAAAGTCACTAAATGGGGAAAAGAGGAAGAACAGTGGCAGGTAAGGCAAGATTGAGAAAAGCTGAGTTTTAGGAGCTTGCTGGGTAACTGTCTTGCACTCCACTAAATATTAAACCACTTGTATTCAACACGGTCTATCCTTTTTTGCCCCAACTGCAAAAAGTGCTCAACAAACTTTATTCAATGAATACACTGCCATTAGGAACTCAGAAGCTAGAGTTATCTAGGGGAATAAACAAAACTAAGCCTAAAAAGTGCCATATTTCCCTCTCTCCACCAAATTCAAATATCACCATTGTGAAGCTTATTAGGTTCCGTAATTCCTTCAATTACATGGGTGGATTCCAGCCTGGAGTTCCGAGATGGCTGGCTACGTGTGAGCAAGAACATAACAAGGTCCAGTACTCACTCGGTGTGCGGCGCTGCAGTTAACTGTTCTAGAAGAGAATCTGGAAGTAGTTTTCTTTTCTTTCAGAAAAAAAAAAAAAAAAGACATTAAAAAATCAGTACGGTGCGTAAGACGACGCCTGGTTACAAGTCCCCATCTTAAGGGCAGCCGGACTTTGGAGAAGGACACTCCGGCTCTCGAGCCCGGGGGCGGGGACACTGGGCTCAATGAATGACTTCCCACGCTCTCCAGACCTGTGAGAACCTGGAGGGTGTCCTCAGCTCCCCCCCTCGGGTCACTTAGGAGTTGCATGACCACCTGGAGGCACTTCTCCGAGCTGCCCACACGAGACAGCGAAGCGACCAGACCCTGCGTCTGAACCAACTCCCTTCACAAATGGCCCCGTTTCATCTCGGCGACCGAGACTCCGACGGGAGAAACCACCGCCGCGACGCCCAACGACCGGGGCGTTTCGCGTTCACAGCTCGTCCACCCGCGTTTCCGAGGTTGGCAGCGGAGGGCCCCGGCGTCTCGGCCCGGCCGTGCGCGGCTGGAGCGCCGTCTCCCGCGCACCAGGTCAGCAGCCCCGCGCGACAGCGCGCCCCACCCGGCAAGGTGGCTGCAGAACGCGGCGCCCCGCCGCCCTCCCACCTTCTGCTCGATGAACAGCTCCTCGCGCCGCTTCCTCTTCTCCTTCAGCAGCGTTTTATCCCTGGGAGAAAGGACGCGGGTCAGCGGGCAGGGCCGAGGCGTCGCAAGCGCCCGTGCTCCCCGCCGGCTCCGAACCTGCGCACGGTCTCGCGCACCCGCCGCTCCTCTTCTCTCGCTTCGGCCTGGGCGCTGGCGAAGGTCAGCTCCTCTGGGGCCTCGTCGTCAAGCTCGTCTTCCCCGTCCTCATCCTCCAAGGGCTCGGCGGCCGCACCGCTGCTGGGCTGCCCGAGCAGCAGGCCGTGCTCCGCCTCCTCCGAGGCCGGCTGGCCCTCATCCACCATCGCCTCCGCCGACGCGGGGGTGCGGGACGCGCGCGGCCGGAGCTGCACCATGGCTCACGCGGCGCCGATCAGTCTGACTTCTGACCCGGAAACAGCCGCCAGCTGAGCGCGGCTTGGAAGAGTAAGCGACATGAACTTTTATCGCCCCCTGCAGGTTTGGAGGCCCCAGGTCACGGAAGCGCATGCGCAAGATGAGGGGCGGGGCCTATTCCCATGGGGCGTGGCCCAGATCTGCAGGGGCGCGTTCTCTCGCGACAGGCTAGTTGAACGCGCGAGCTCCCGGGGCGCCGCAGCTGCCCAGGTCGGGCTGCCCTCCTCCGCTGCGGGAACGTTCGCTGTCCGGTGCCAGGCATTGGTCGCTTGTCGCTGCCTTTTTTAGCACTGGGTTCGGTTAGGTCCTAAGTTCATCGGTATTTGTGGGTATGGCTCCAAGCGCCTCGCAGCTTCCACCGGGAAGAAGTGCGCTCTAGCGGAAGGACGCCGATGCCCTCCCTCCTGCTGTCACCCACCGGGGACACAGCCTGGCTTAGCTAAATCCTCAGCATCAGACGCGCGCCTGGCGACCTCGGCCGCGCAGCCGCTCGGTCTGTGTGGCACCCCAGGAGAACAGACGCTTGGTGAGTGTAGAACCCTCGTCGGTTCCCGCCCGCGACTGACCTTCAGCCGCCGCAGATGGGAGTGCGACCCTGTGGAGCGCAGGACACCGTCACGTTGAACGTGGCGCGCGCTCGTTCTGCCCCCACCCCGTGTATTCTCTATGCACAGAGGCCTCGCGATCCGTCTGTCTTTCCCACCCGTTGTACAATATGATTGATTACTCATTCTCCCAACGAATCAGCGGCCTGCGCTGTGCCCTCTGCTGACGCACACTCCCCACCAGAACTCCCTCTTGCACTCAGAAGCTCCCCCCCAGGCGAGTTCCAGCACCGTCCACTCGTCGCTGCTGGTGGAGCTCTGATTGCCTTCTCTGAGCCTTGCACTGACGTCTATTGCTGCACTTTGGGGCTGTGCACTCCCGGCTCTCGAGCCCGGGGGCGGGGACACTGGGCTCAATGAATGACCTCCCATGCTCTCCAGACCTGTGAGAACCTGGAGCCTTGCACTGACGTCTACTGCTGCACTTTCCACACTGTGTAAGTTTACGGTGGTGGTTCCAACCACGCCGTGAACTGGATGGTAAGACGCAGGCCTTGCTGATCATTTCACTTATAATGACCATCATATGGTAGGATGTTCAGTAAATGCCCCTTCGAACTGAATAATTCTCACTTATATTTGATATTTTTAATCTCCTTTCATCTCTTGGATTTCAAAGCAGTTCCCAGTTTTAAAATAACAAAACCGTATGAAAAAAACGACAAGACACAAGAATAAACAAAGCTGTTGGTACCAAAAAATAAACTAAAAAAAAAAAAAGATCTGAAATCTCTGGTCTTTGGTCAGATAGAAATTACAAAACAAAAACATTTAGACTTCTTGAGAGTGTGTTGACTTCCACAGTTGCTAACACTCAGAAAATGCATAAAATTAACCTGGAGGAGTCCAACAACAAACCTATTAAGTGCCTGATAGTACTGCACTTAAAAACTGCATCCCAGCATCACTTTATTACTGGTGTCACCTGTCCCCTCAGTTTATACTCCTGACCCATCCAGCTAAAGGGGGAACTGACTCCTCAGGATGCTTGGTTGGTTCTCCAGTCTCCTGTAGGCCGTGACCATCCCTCTTTGCACACAAAGGACCTTTGGGATTTATTAAATACAAAGACATTCATATGCAGTGGCTTGTCACCTGTTACTATAAACCTAAGGGCATAACATTAATTCTTCAAGGGGCTGAGGTGACATGGCAGAGGTCTGTAATCACTCAGGGGAAGCCCACCTAATCCAAGGGACGGTCTTATGTATGACCTGCATACACTTGAACTCGGGCCCCCTCACAGCCCAGCTTCAGGTAAGCCAAGGGCCCTGAGAGCCCACTAGCTTGTGGCGTTTGAGTAAAGAGTAGTAGTCTTACTTCTCTAGTCCAAGGTAATAAGGGTGTCATTATTAAAGACCCAGGGGGAAACTCCCATCAGAATTTAGTACCAGGGAGGGCTTGCGAACCCCCCAGGGGCTGTATGCATCTTCCTGGAAGATGCTCTAACATAAGGTGGTGAGTGTTGGAAGGGATATTGTCTCACACACCCCAAGAAAGAAGTACCCGGATGATGGGGGATGAGAATTCAGTAGCAGATTTAGTAGAAGCAAGCAAGGAAAGGGTCCCAGAGAGGGTATCTTTGGTGGCTCTCTGTCTAGGGCTTTTTATGCTGTTTTGATGAAGAACTAAAGTTTCATTGGAAAGTCTCTCTTGACTGTCCTCTTTTTCTGACTCAATTGAAGGCATGCAATTCTAATTTCTTATTCCCATAATGAGATGGTTTAATGTGTTTGTTAACCTGAGTTTGTCCTGTATGCTGAAAAGAATTGCTTGGGTTCAAAACAACCCTCTGGGGTTGACTGATGTTAGGGTTGTTAAGGAAGCCTGGGGCGACAACAGAATGTGTGGCACCAAGCTGAACGGGGTCTCCAGTCAGGCTGCCAAAGACAAGCTTGAGCCTCAGGTTTTAGTCTGGGGTGGTGGGATCCCCTTCTCCAAGGTCCCCATTTCTGTCTACCTATAGATGATCAATCTCCTCCTCAATACTGAACAAGGGTCATCCTCTCCTTCTTCCTTCCCTGCTCTTCCTGCCAAGATAACCCGAGCTAAATTTTAGGCAGCTGTGTTTATCCTTGGGTGATCCTTATGTTTGCCTTTTTTTCCTCATCTGCTTTCTTCCTGTGTCATTTTTCCTTCCTTGCATTCATTTGTGTTGTAAGTTATCCTAATATCCTGTGTTCTTTGAGGTAAGGCAACCAACAAATACTGAAAAGAAAAAGCCCCCAACAACATCTTTTAGGGTAACATTTTTATATGATAAATTAACTACTGTAGAGAATGATTTCATTTTCCACCAAAACTTGTGTAAAAATCAGAATTAAGTACCAGGATTTTACTTCTCTATTTCTATTTTTGCCCATCGAGCAAAAATACAATCAAGATAATTACTTTTTTGTAGACAGTGTAACTACAAAATATTCTCCTCCCAGTAGCAAACAAACACATCAAGCATAAGACACTTAGAGTTCATTGAAACCAAGTAACGTGCATTAACATTACAGTTCTCGGACTTCTTGCTTATACATTTGCTCTTACTACTTCTAAGCCCAGTCACTTAACAGGGTGGATTCCAGCCAGAGGCGCAAGGATATTTTTAGATCTTCCAATACTCAGCTCACCATCCACAAGATCATTTCTCCTCTTCGTGGCCTAGTTCTTGATATACTATCATTCCTTCCTTCCCCAGGGCACTTAGGAAATAGTTTCAGTTTCATGCGGAGCAAGGGCTTCAGGAAGAGTTGTTCCACAGGGTCCATGGAAATGAAACCTGAATGGAAGGGCCAAATACAGCACAGTATGAGCTCTGAGTTAGCAAAGGGAACGTAAAATTGCAGAACATCACACACTTCTCAGTCACACCCAGAGTAAGATCTGGATTCTCAGATATGGTATTTCAGATTCACTCCTTCAGCCCCTGACAACTCAAGATGCCACTTGATGATGGGTGACTGAGGGATTCTAGAGAAGCAAGAGATTGGCCTCTGTGTGCTTCGAATCAGAAGTTTATTTAATGGGTAGGGAAGTGTAAAGGGTTGTAAAGTGTAATTTGTGATTGTAGTGCCAGATTCATAGCTGAAATATGTGTCTGCATATGAATATACATACATATATCTATATGAAGACAATTACATAGAAAGATATCCTATGTTCATGGATTGGAAGAATTATCATCATGCAACACCCTCAAAATTCCAATGCCATTTTTTCATAGAAATAGAGGAAAAATCTTAAAATTCATATAGTACACCCCACCCCACCCTGCTTAACACACAGACTCTTTATAGCCGAGGCGATCATGACAAAGAGAACAAGCTGGAAGCATTGCACTAAATCACTTCAAATATACTATAAAGCAATAGTAATTAAAGCAGCAAGAATAGGCATTAAAAGAGCCACAAGGCCAATGGAATGGAAGAAACCTGGAAACAGTCCATGCATCTGGGGTCAAGTTTGTTCCCTGGCACTGGGGATTGAACCCAGGGGTGCTTTACCACCGAGCCACATCTCCAGCCATTTTCATTTATTCATTTTGAGACAGGGTCTCACTAAATCATTTAGGGCGAGCCTCGCTAAGTTGCTGAGGCTGGCTTTCAATTTGTGCTCATCCTGCCTCAGCCTCCCAAGTTGCTGGGATCACAGGCCTGTGCCACTATGCCCAACTGGTCAATTGATTTTTTTCTTTTTCTTTCTTTTTTGGTACTGGAATTGAACTCAGGGGCACTGGATCACTGAGCCACACCCCCAGCCCTCTTTTTGAATTTTATTTAGAGACAGGGTCTCACTGAGTGTGTAACACCTTGCCTTTGCTGAGCCTGGCTTTGAACTTGTGATTCTCCTGTCTCAGCCTCCCCAGCTGCTGGTATTTCAGATTTGCTCCACCGTGCCTAGGTGATTAATTGATTTTTGACAAAGGTGCCAACCATATGATAGGAAAAGGACAGTCTCTTTTAAAAATGGTGTGGGAAACTGGATATCCACATGTAGAAAATGAAACTGGACTCTTCTCTTGCACTGTATACAAAAATCAGTTGCAAATGGATTAAACAGACCTGAGACTATAAAACTACTAGAAGAAAACATGGGGGTTGGAGGAATACTTGACCTTGGTCTAGGCAAACAGACAACAAAAGCAGAACTAGACAAGTGAGATTACACCAAAATAAAAAGTTTCTGTACAATAAAGAAAGCAATCAACAGAATGAAGTAACAACTCATGGCAAATTATTTTGAATGGGAGAAAATATTTACAAGCCATATGTCTCATAAGGGGTTAATATATAAAAAATACAAGGAACTCAAACAGTTCTATAGAAAGAAAGCAAATAATTTGATTAAAAAATGGGCAAAGGGCCTGAATAGACATTCCTCAAAAGAGGACATACCAGTGGCCAACAGGGAGTTGAAGAATGCTCAGTATTGCTAAATCATTAGGTATTATCTAATCAGATAATACCTTACTATTATCTGATTAAATAATGCCTAATTAGATATTGTATTATTTAAGCACAATAAGATACCTCACATCTGTCAAAATGACTTATCAAAAAGACAAACAATAACAAGTGTCAGGATATGGAGGAAAGGGAACACATGTACATCGGTGGTGGGTACATAAGTTAGTCCAGCCATTATGGAAACTGTGGAAGTTCCTCAAGAAACCAAACAGTTTCCACATGATCCAGTCATTCCACTCTGGGCATCTACA